CAAACTTCTAGCAAAATGTGGTAGTTCTGTATGTTGTTTCAGGGTTGGCATCATCTGAGGTCCTCTGAGGGGTTGGGCATCATCTCTTCTCAGGTGTTCTGGATAGATTGTAAAAAGATTGTTTAAAGTTCACTTAAATTAGAAGTTATTTTAAGTAGTCTAATAAATGTTCAAATTGATAGCTTTGTAATGTTGAATGCTAATCAATGGTTAAATATTAGGGGGAAAAACTATTTCATAGAGACATCAGAGTGATACTGGCCTTCAGTCATATAAAAATAGGCCATTATATAAATATAAAGAGATACTGTCTTTATGTTGTTTATACATTCATTTGAAGATTGAATGTGAAAATATTGCAATGTAACAAGTATTTTTAAAAACTTTAATGTTAGGTGGGATTTATCGCGATTAATTTCAGAAATTCTTTGTAATGTTGAATGCTAATCAATGGTTAAATATTAGGGGGAAAATCTATTTCATAGAGACATCAGAGTGATACTGGCCTTCAGTCATATAAAAATAGGCCATTATATAAATATAAAGATACTGTCTTTATGTTGTTTATACATTCATTTGAAGATTGAATGTGAAAATATTGCAATGTAAAAAGTATTTTTAAAAACTTTAATGTTAGGTGGGATTTATCGCGATTAATTTCAGAAAAAATTTTTTTTTCCATTGACAGCACTAATTTCTACATAAAAACAAAGCGTGGAAATCGTTTATTACCGAATTCAAACAATAAATGACGTTTTGTCGCTCTTTTATTTGGCGCAGTAAAAAAAATTTTACATTTTATTTAAACGGCAGCGTGAAGCACACGTGAACGACCATCTCTTCCATTTTACTTCTGGTTATTGTGTGAATGAAACATTGAATGAAAAGAAAGGTATGTTAAAAGGGTATGTTACAACTTACTGAAATGCATGAGCTCTCACATAATCGCCGAAACGGTGTTTTAGCCGCGAAAAGACATAATGTGTAGGCTACACATAACACGACGTTACTTCAGCAAAGTCATTCAATCCTATTAATAGAAAACAGAATGTTACAGTAAATCATATCCCTAAATTCATTATTAAATAGTTATATGCACAAAATAAGATTTAGGTATTGTAGAGGAAATTTCTACCACAGCATCCAGAGGTTGAAACAACACCTACAATTTATGCAGTTGGTGCCAACTGCAATTGCAAATACACTCACATCCATTTTAATGTGTTCGTTTTTTTCATCTCGGACTAAAATGGGAAGGGTAAAAAAGTTCCTGCTGTACCACCTTTTTCTTAACTTTACTCTTTTCTGATCTTCTTTGCATGAAAGAACAAATCATTGTTCTTAACTGAAAGCATTTAAATGTTCCCTTTTGTTCTCGTTTACAGGGAAGCAAGTCCTTGTTTTGTGTTTGTTTACAGGGAAGCATATCCTGCTCTTTGAGATCTAACTGATGGATGCTGTTATTTTCTCCTCTCTCATTTTGTATCTGCATTGAAGACAGCTGTGAGGTTTATTGACTCTGGCAGTCAGATGATGTCATCTTAACGACAGATTTAAAGAGCAAAGGAGAGTTATTTTCCCAGGCATGTTAGCATCTTCCTGCTGTCAGTGTGTGGTCGCATCACTGCAAACCTCACATACGTTTCCCAGTGTTCCCTGAACGGCTGACGACATTTCAAAGCACTGATCTAAGCTGTGGAGAGTGTGGCGTTATGAATCATGAGAACTGAAATATCTATAATTATGTCATTTAATGGGAGAGCTCTAAAAATGGTTTATTTCCAAGCACACTTCAAAGAGAGAGGATAGGTTCATAAATGGCCGTGCATAAAATTCAAATAAATTATCCCTTTATCAAAAAAAAAGAAGTGAAATATGAATTTTGAATATGAAATGATTGATTCTCTGTATTTTTATGGCCCAGGAATAGACACTTGTTCTCATTTCAGTTAACTGATTAATATATACGTGTACAAACCACGTGTTTCTCATTGCCTACAGAGAATATCCTCAGTGGCACATCTTACCCCCACCCCCCATATACTTCTCTAAATACTCTTGTAATGCTTAACTAAACATAACACAGTGCCCTCAGTGTTTATTCTACTCTGCTGCCTAAAACCTTCGGAAAAGCACATTGCCACAGGGATGGTAAAGTTTATTCACCCTTTCGGTCAAACGGCTAAACCCCCTGCATTCCAGCAGCTCTTATCAGAGTATCGTAAATAGAAGAGCGGCTCACGTAAAGTCCATGGATCAGGGGGTCATGGCTTAGTCCACAATGAGAGAGAGACTTTTCGAGCAAGTTAAAAACAATGGTGTGAAATTTTTACGTTACAGAATCAACAACACAAAGCTAAAAACTGACAGCCTGCCAAATCTACAGTGGGAGAAAAATGCCATAGAAACAGTTTACATTCAGAAATTGCTAGTATGGAAGCTTGTTTCCACCAAAGGATAAAAACTTTTTTTTTTCACAATTGCAAGTTTATATCTTACAATTTTGACTTTTTTCTCAGAATTGTGTGAATTATTTTTTTTCTCAGAATTCCAAGTTTATATCTCACAATTCACAATTTTTCTTTTATTTATTTTTTTGGCTTCAGAATAAATAGTGAATTTCTATTTCACAATTCTGACTTTTTTCTCGAAATTGCAAGTTTATATCTCACAATTCAGATTTTTCTTCTCAGAAATGCAGTTTATATTTGCAGTTGTGAGATATAAACTCGCATTCAAATTTTATAGTTATTATTCAGATTTAGATTTTTCTAGTTGGTATCTTGAGTTAACAGCTCACAATTCTGAATGTTTTTTCTTTTCTCAGAATTTTGACTTTTTCTCAGAATTGTGAGTTAACATAATAGTGAATTTTTACTATCTTTGTTTATTTACAACTTTGATTTTTTTTTCTTTTTTTTTTCTTTTGGAAAGGTTTTTATCAGCTGGCTTTGCGGTAAGTGTCAGTTTGACATATTGTGTGTACTGTACAATCTGCAGGCATTGTAATGGTTTTCAAAATACTGTGACAAGCGTATACAAAATATTGTATACGCAGCGTCGTAATTGATGTATCTGGTATGTGTCTAAGCAAACCACACAATGGTTCTGATGAATGTAGGCCGTTAATAGAGAAAGCAGCTTGCTGAGTGTGAGAAAAGGCTGTTTTTGGCAGCTCTGAAAAGCCTTGGGGAAATAAATCCTGTCTGCCATTAATGCAACCTGTTTGTGTTTGACAAAGCACACCTGATCCATCTCAAATCCTCTCTGTACAGAAATGAACACAGCATACACTTCCACAGAGGTTATGCTATTTGTTTAGTCTTATATATATATATATATATATATATATATATATGTGTATGCTATTAAAAACGAAATCTCTGTCATCATTTACTCATTAAACCACTCCTTTTGTGTTCCACAGGAGAAAGACAGTTATAGGGGTTTGACATGATGAGTAAACAAAGACTGAAATGTAATTTTTAATCGAGCTAAGCTGTTTCTGGATCATTTTAGTCAAATTCTGAACAGACACGTTTGTGTTTGTGGAAAAACACAGTCGGCTAGATGTAGTATTTGAATTGGTATATTGCTTCATTGTTTACAGTAAACAAACTACAGTTTTCTACCTAAATTATAGTTGGTTTGCAGCACTTTCACAGATAACCCACAATGAATGTCAACAGGTCACAAGTTTAATTAGGGGGTGTGGGTGCCCTCAACCCTCCCTTCCTCCCTTGTCCTGTCCCATCATCCATCCACAATCCCACAGCACCTCTGGAAGAAACAATAAACTCTCATCTGGAACCCTGACAACTTTCCAGCTTATAAAAGTCACAGTAAACCATTTCTCTATAAAGACTACAGCGCATGAAGGTGCAACACATTGCTAAGATGTAGTAAAATGTGCTATGAGTTAATTATTGTATTTTTTGAAATATATGTAAATTGATCTTAGTACTTTTTTCAGGTTTTGTTTCGGTCTTCTTTTTAGATTTGTTAGGCAATTAAAACAAACACGATGCTGACAATTTCAAGTTTTCTTGTTAAAAATGGTCTATGAAGAATGTAAACATGAACATGCGTGTAAACAGGCACACTGCAAAAAAAAAAAATAAAAAAAATACAGAAATGCAAGAAAATACTATTTTTGCTTTTGCTGATTTTTCCCCCAGATTTTTCTAGTTTATATCTTGAGTTAACATTTTTTCCTCAGAATTTTGACTTTTTTCTCAGAAATGTGAGATTATATCTCTCAATTCTGACTTTTTTTACTTTTTCTGTCGCAATTACTTTTTTTGTATTTTTCATCCTGTGGCAGAAATAAGCTTCCATATTCACAAATCACAATGTATTACTTGCCATTTCTTTTTTGTTAATTTATTGTAAAGTTTATTAGTTTACTAGTGAATTGTGAGAATATTCATACTGTTTGGTTTACATATTCATATTGATGCTCCACAAACCCATTTTAAACTAATAAAAACAAAAATGTGATTTAATTTTTTATGATTAAAAATTACTCAATAATATAAAATAATTATAATAAATGTTCATAAAAAAATATCATTTACAAAATAAATGATTACTAGTTTCCTTCATGTATATGCAAAGTTTAAACTACAATCTTAATGTTTAATGTCAACTGCCCCAAAACAGACACCTTCATTACTCAAATGCAAAAAGTTCTGGTCTTCCCATAACAAAGGATGACAGGTTCTTAAAGAACACCACATGGCATTGAAATATAGGCTGTGGTGTCATATAGTGCATGAAATATTAACATGAATCCCTTTCATTTCGAACAAGAATAACCAATGTTGTATTATTACCCATAAAACTGACATTAGCAATTGCAAAAGAACAAAGAAAACAAAACATACGCCCATCATAACACCTGAGATCCCATCTGCAAGCCTTAAATGATTTGATGCGAAAGTCTGGCACACAAAGTCCTCACCTCAGGAGGTTCTGCAAGCCTTGCTTGCTGGAGCTTCGTCTCATGATTGCACTTGATATTGTTCTTTCTTCTTCGAGCTTGGAATTCTTGGAAGTTTTGTATTCCGTGGAATCTGATTCACAAATGCTGACGTTCTCTTTCCTCGGACACTCAAGCTTTTGAGGAGAGATCCACGCGGCACTCGGTCTGGTTTCAGAGACTGGCTTTAGTCACACTCTGTCCCCTCCTCCTCTCCTCCCTCTGTTTTGTTTTTCTCTTTCCTGCATGTGGTTCTCATTGAGAGAGCTCAGACCATAACCTAACATCTTTTCCCCCTCCTTTTCCCTCTTTTCCAGGGTCATGTGGCCGTCCCAGGGGAAAATGTAAGTTGATACTCCCCACCCCATGCTATGAATCCAGCCCCCCACAAGACCCCCGTCCCAAACCCAGAAATCAGCCTTTCTTTAACTGTTTACATTGGTAACAAAGCTCTCAGACATGCTTACAAACAAACTTCAGCAAGCATTTTGATACGTCCCATTGTTTGTCTCCTATACCTGCCGTATTAATCATACTAGATGACAATTACACTACCTTTCAACAGTTTGAGGTCAGTGAGATTTGTTTTTTTAAAGAAAGATTTTAATATGTTTATTCATCAAGGATGCATTTAATTGATCAAAAGTGACAGAAAATATGTTTATAATGTTACAAGAAAATTATATTTCAAATAAATGCTGTTCTTTTGAACTTTGTTTACGTCAAACCTGAGGAAAACATTTGTATGGTTTCCAGAAAAATATTACGCGGTTTGTTTTCAGCATTAATAATAATCAGAAATGTTTCTTGAGCAGCAAATCAGCATATTAGAATGATTTCTGGAGGATCATGTGACACTGAAGACTGGAGTAATGATGCTGAAAATTCAGCTTTGTGTCACAGGAATAAATTATATTTTACAATATATTGACATAGAAAACAGTTATTTTATATAGTAATAATATTTCACAATATTACTGTTTTACTTTATGTTTGATGAAATAATACAGCCTTGGTGAACAGAAGAGACTTCTTTCAAAAATATTACAAAATCTTACCCAACCCCAAACTTTTGAATGGTAGTTTTATGTATTTCTTCAAATTTGGCCACTTCATGCATTTACATTACATTTACATTTATGATTTATGTTTTTCTATCCAAAGCGACTTACAGCAGACGAACAAAAGAAATGTGTCAAGGAGTCACATCATGCCTTTAATGACTCTGACATTAATTTATATATTTACTTGTTTTACTCTTAAACCCAGGCTTTCAAATGAAGATAAATATTTAGGATAAAAACTTATTTGTGACCCTGGAGCACAAAACCAAGTCATAGCGGGTATATTTGTAGCAATACAATAGCCAAAAAATTGTATTGGGCTAAAATTATCGATTTTTCTTTTGTGTCAAAAATCATTAGGATATTAAGTATAGATCATGTTCAATGAAGATATTTTGTAAATGTCCTACCATAAATATATCAAAACGTAATTTTTGATTAGTAATATGCATTGCTAAGAACTTCATTTGGACAATTTTAAAGGTGATTTTCTCAATATTTAATTTTTTTTGCACCCTCAGATTCCAGATATTCAAATAGTCGTATCTCGACCAAATATTGTCCAATCCTAACAAACCATACATCAATGGAAGGCTTATTTATTCAGCTTTCAGATGATGTATAAAT